TACAACTTGTAAAGACAAATTGATTTGTTAAAGAATCATGATTTAAGAATCTGTCTCTATAATGGAGATTTCAACTAAAGATGAAATGTTGATCAAAACTATTAATACAATAAACTTTTCTCATATTTTATGAAATGATGAAGTCTCTTGTACTTTTCTTCCCAAATAATAATGTATAAGAACTATTATTTTGTTGCTCATTAGAAACTGTTTAATAGTTTAATTTCATTAGTGCATTCATACAAAGATTTGATTGTATCTTAAGACTATTTAACTCGTTGCACATCATCAATGGTAAGATGAAATAACCTTAAAAATTTGATATTTGCAGTGTGTTTTAAAGATTTTTTTTTTCGTTTACATTTTATTTTACACTCTCCGTAATATAAAAAAAAAAACGAAATTCGTAAATAATAAATCGTAAATTAATTTAAAGATTTTGTTATTTAGCATCGAGGTTGAGCCAAAATCAGCTTTTGAAATGTAAAAACCAATTTAAACAGTAATGCTAAACTAGGTCATAATATATATTTTTTTTCAAATTTTACTAATTACTGATTTGGTACTTTTTAAAATTTCATAAACATATCTAAAAAATTGATGGGTGTTCGATTAATAATTTTTCTTAATATATTTAATTTTTATATATATTTTATTAAAACATTTGTTAATCTTATGATTTTGTTTGTGCAGTTTAAAATTTTCATATCTATGTTTATAAGTATAATTGTCCTTAATACTTTCTCATTATTAATAAAAGAACACTATAGTCATTAAAAGATTCTATTGTTATTATTTTTATTTTTTAGGTATTAAAAATTTTATTAAGTGCTATAATTTAGTTTACTCAACAAAGTAATTATTAATCCCATGAACACCATCATTTCAATTTTTTTAAAAAAGGCTAAAATATTAAAAAATCCCATGAACTATTTTACTTTTTTTAAATAAGCTCTTATCCTTATTGTATATAAATTTTTTTACTTTGATTTTTATTCAAATAAACCCTTATTTTAAATGAAAGAATGATTTATGTTAAATGTTTTATTTACATACAAATTAAAATTTTAATGATTTATTTAAATACAAATTAAAAATAAAAATTTATTTAGATACAAAATAAAAATTTGAAGTTTATTTAAATAAAATAATAATACAAATATTTATCTAAATAAAATTATAAAAATTAAGATATCTTTTAATTATTTTCACCTTTGTAAAACTTTGGAATCCTTTTATTAGCAAATGATTGGGAGAGCCACCAACAAACGTTTTTGATTGACACAAATACGCAGCAGGATCGGGGATGCATCCAGGCCCATTCTAGCAGCTCGTTGAATAGCTAGCCTAGTTGGGCCACCGCAAGAGGACCCAGTTTAAATAGCTTTAAAAGCTTTTCATTGTTACCTTTACCTCCCCTAAAGGGTTGTAATTATTAGCCTGTGCTTTATTTATTTATTTTTTTTAAACAAGCCTATGATTTAATTGTTTTTTTGGTCTAAGACCCTCCCATAGTCATTTTAGGCTTTAATCATTTCAAAATCGAATTTTATAAAATTTTATAAAATAAATAAATTTTTTTAATATTTATTTTTTTTATTCACAAAATTTAAAATTAAAACTTTAGTTAAAAAAATCAATTTTTTTATCATTCAAATTAACAAACGTTAATCATGTTTTAATTGTTAAAATACCCTTTGGGTACTTTGAACTTAGGGACTTTTTTCAATTATTTAATTGTTAAGATACCCTTTTGGGTACTTTGAGCTTAAAGATTTTTTTTAATTAAAGTTGTCCGAAATTAAATTTTAATTATTAAAATAAAAGTGTAATAGTCTTTGTTAACATACCACGTGCATGTTGGCTTAAACTTAAAATTTTGACAAGACTTAAACCAATCAATAAACCCACCAATTTAATGACTAAAAGCAAGAAAATATGATTCCCACAAAACTCTAAAGCCATTGGTGCCATTGAGAGTTGAGAGTTGAGACTGTTCTTTTCTCCAAGATACATGCATTAGAAAAACAGCAATAATTTTTTTTTTTTGTCTTGTTGAGCATAATTGGGAGGTATTGGCATCTTTGTCCTTCCAACATAATCTTTCCCAACCTTGAGCAAATACATCAAAAAGTCCAAAGCCACCCACAACCTTTCATCATTCACTTCAAAAGCAAACTAGTCAGAAAGTTCAAAAAATATAGTGGTACTCTCACATCTCCACCCTTAAATCACCTATATGCTCCTCTGTGAAAAACCCCCCCTCTTTCTCCAAGGATTCGAGAAATTCAGTAAGAGATAAGCTTATTACTACTAGAAAAAGAAAACAAGTGGTATTAGGTTTTAATCTTGTCAATGGTGAGTCATTTTTGTGTCATATTGGACCCCACAAAGCTGCAGAAAACCATGGGCTAATGAGTAGTGGCCCATCTATTTATGCAGTCCTTTCAAAACCCACCTCAACTTTCGTCCGTACAGTTAAATGGGCTAGTTGCCTAGTTATTTCGTACCCATTACAAGCTCACTATAACGTATTGGATTTTGTTATTTTTTTTTTAAATAATCTTAAGATAAAAGATTTAAAATTTAAAATTTTAAGACATATCAATATTTTTGAAGGAAAAAGAGAAGCTTTTTCAATTTTTGTGCTTTTGCTTTGTTGTTAGGTTCAAATTCTCAATCATGCATGGTGGTAGGATAAAAATAAAAAACAAAATCGTTGCATCATTTTCGACAAAAGTTTTGCCTAAAGGAAAAAAAAAAAGCTACGAAAGGGTTTCACTTTCACATTGATAAACTCATTGGAGATGACAAAAGGTCATTGCTGTTGGGACCAACAGGCAACAAAAAGCGAGCGTTTTTGATGTATGAAAGCCCAAACATCATCCTTTTGCTTTCTTTTCTTTGACTGCTGCTTTGGCAATGCTTATGCGTGCCTGACATTGCATTATCTCCCTTCCCTGCTAATCTTTTCATCCTTTTATTTTATTATTTATTATTATATTATATGAAACTTTTGGGGTTTAATTTATGTACCGACATCATGGTTAATCCTACTATATTTAATTTAACTTATTGTCCCTATGCCTTTCGTTTTCCTTTTAGGTCTGACCTGACTTCCATTCAAAATTTTCACTAAGATATCTTTATTTCAGAATAATTTTATTATTATAAAAAAATAAATTCTGATTAATAAAATTAAAATTTTAATATTTTATCAACGAACTTAAAATTTTTTATTCAATTATTTGACTCAACGGATAAAAGCATTTTCATTTTCTTAAAAAGTTGAGTTCAAATTCTTCGTACTCTAATACATATATACATATAACCATTTATATTAATATAATTCTTTTAATTTTTAAAATTTTTAGATCAAAATTATTAAATTTAAAAATATTATTTTAATTTAAATGAGTTATTTATTTAATTTTGATTTAAAAATTAAAAAATATGAAAGTTACATTAATATATAAATGTTAAGATTTAAGAGAAGTTTTAGTTTGACCAAATGTCTTTGGCACAACTCAAGTATTCAACATAACAAATAACTTATAAATTTAGTTATTATTGAATCAAATGCTTTTATAATAAAAATTATTAATATTAATTCTACTAATTTATCTTTTAAATAGTATTATATATATTTTTTGTTAAAGCAAAAAAAGAGAAGGTAAAGAAAAAAGGGGCCTAAATGAAGGACCAAGATTGATTGAAGACAATGGTTAATACGTTACTATTGACTTCCACAGTAGATGCACTTTTGGCGGTCAATTAAGGTGGAATCACCGAATTACTGAGGCCGAAAAGGTTGTGCTCAAAATGATCATGAAATCATGATTGCTTGAATATTTGTTGGTGGGTTCCGATTCACCTTCAAATTATTGGTTACTGCAATCATATCTACGTACGACCATATCTCATCTCATTATTCATTTTTTTTTTTTTTTTATAAAACTCATATTCTCCATGTGATATGCGATTTTTTTTATTGTAGAATTTTTTTTTTTCATTTATGGTTTTGTCCGACGTAAAAAATAAAAGTAAAAGTAATTTTATAATTTCATTAAAATGTGATTGATTTTTATGTCATTACTCTATTTTAATAATAAAATTGAAACATTAGATTATAAATAAAATAATAAAATAATGTGGGGGATAATAATGAAATTTTTTTTTTTGATATGTAGATTTGAATTTGCAATTGAGAGATCTATTAATGATTAATTGAAAAGATAACTCCATATATGGTTATGGTTAGGAACAGAGAGTTTATTTATCTAATTAATAGTCCAAGTGTCTAAACTCACAATCGTAACATCGTGAATTGTTTAGTACGAATAAATAAACTATCTATTTGATTTAAAAAAATAATAATAATAATCGAATCGATTGACTTACTTTTATTAGTAAAACATAATCGAATTGACATGAGATCAATCAATTGGTAAAAAAACAAAAAATTTCCTTAATTTTTTTGTCATTAACTTTGAAGACTAATTTTATAATAATTTTCACTTAATAAAATTGATCTTATAATTTTATCATTAATATCATATTTGTCATTCATAAAAATATAAATAAAAATATTATATAATATATTTAAAATTTTATTAAAAAAATTAATTGATTCAGTCAATTAATTATTAATTAAAAAATAAACTAAATTAACTAATTAAATCAATTTATTTAATAAAAAAATCAAAATTGAATTAATCAAATTAATTTAATTAAATTTAATCAATTTCGGATACCCAAATCAAATTCAATCATAAAACCAAATCGGTTGAATCTTATAGTCAATCTATTGTCCATTACATAGAAAGAGATTCAAAGCCCAGATAAGGGAATCCATTGGGCTTCATTGAGTAACCAGAAGTTGAATAAAATATAAGGCTAAGTTCCAGGACAGTGTAGCCCTAAAAACCTAAATCTAGCCCATCAAGATGCCCTATTTAAATGTAACCATGTTATACATGCTTTTAGCGGTCATTGGCCATTCCCTCTCTATTTCATTTTTTGCCACCAAGCCTTGGAGCCATCCATTTACAAAGTTTAACAGCTGATGAATTCTTCAAATCCAATCGCCACTCACCCAACCTTGAACTATTTATCAAAATGCCAGACACTTTGCTCTCTCAAGCAAGTCCATGCCCAAATGATAACAACTGGCCTCACTCTCCATACTTACCCTCTCAGTAAACTCCTTTACTTATCATCCACTCTAGCTTTATCCTATGCCCTCACAATCTTTAACAAAATTCCAAACCCAACAATTTTTCTTTTCAACACTCTCATTTCCTCAATAACAACTAACCAGAAAAGTCACACCCTCCTGGCCTTTTCCCTCTATGAAAGAATTCTTTGTAACAAAACAATTAAACCCAATTCCCACACTTACCCATCTCTCTTCAAGGCTTGTGGCTCTCACCCTTGGCTGCACCATGGGCTAGCCCTCCATGCCCATGTCCTAAAATTCCTTGAAACCCCATATGATAGTTTTGTTCAAACCTCGTTGCTTAATTTCTATGCTAATTGTGGCAAATTGCTTGTGGCTAGATATTTATTCGATCAAATTAGCGACCCAGATTTAGCCACGTGGAATTCTGTTTTATCTGCTTATGCAAGTTGTTATAGTTCTAGTTATTATGTAAGTAATAGTAATGTTTCCAGTGAGGACAGTGGGTTACCAATGGAGGCATTATATTTATTCAACGAGATGCAAAATTCTTTAGTGAAGCCAAATGAAGTTACCCTGGTGGCTGTAATTGGTGCATGTGCAAATTTAGGTGCTCTTAGCCAAGGCATATGGGCACATGTTTTTGTAGTAAAGTGCAATATTAAGTTAAACTACTATGTGGGTACTGCTTTAATCAGTATGTACTCAAAATGTGGGTGTTTGGACTTGGCATATCAGCTATTTGATCAATTACCTGAAAGGGACATATTATGTTACAATGCAATGATTGGAGGGTTTGCTATTCATGGTTATGGTCATAGGGCACTTGAACTTTATGAGAAAATGAAGATTCAAGGGTTAGTTCCTGATGATGTGACATTTGTTGTTACAATGTGTGCTTGCTCGCATGTTGGGTTAGTAGAGAAGGGCTGCAAGATTTTCGAGTCCATAAAAGAAGATTATGGTAGGGAGCCAAAGCTCGAACATTATGCGTGCTTGATTGACCTTTTAGGTAGATCTGGGAGGGTTCAGGAGGCTGAGGAAAAGCTCAGGGAAATGCCCATGAAACCAAATGCCATTTTGTGGAGGTCTTTACTTGGGGCAGCAAGGATTCATGGGAATTTGGAGGTTGGGGAAGTTGCATTGAAGCAGTTAATAGAATTGGAGCCGGAAACTAGTGGGAACTATGTGCTTTTATCAAATATGTATGCAAGCATTGATAGATGGGAAGACGTTAAAAGAGTGAGAAAATTAATGAAAGATCATGGGATTCATAAAATGCCTGGCAGTAGCTTAGTTGAGCTTAATGGTGCCACGCACGAATTCCTCAGTGGAGACAAGACACACCCTTGTACAAGAGAAATTTATTTGAAGCTTGAAGAGGTTGGCAGAAGGCTACAGCAATATGGCCATAAGCCAAGAACCAAAGAAGTGTTGTTTGACATAGATGAGGAGGAAAAAGAAGATGCCCTTACTTACCATAGCGAAAGGTTAGCCATTGCATTTGCTCTGATTGCTTCTGATTCAACTGCCCTTATTCGGATCATTAACAATCTTCGTATTTGTAGTGATTGCCATGAAAGTACTAAGCTTATTTCAGTAGTATATGGAAGAGAGATTATAGTAAGAGATCGAAACCGGTTTCATCACTTCAAAAATGGAACTTGTTCTTGTTTGGATTATTGGTGACAGTGGAGAAAGAGTGTTCCTTTCATGAAATGCAAAGCTTGGTTATAAGAGTCCAAGTATCTTTGATTTCAATTCATCATTTTGTACGATTATTTAGATAGATTATTGATTGTACATTCAACTTCGCCTATTGCCTAAAATGATGTGCATAGCATTTGAACTTATCAGTTTTTTTTTTTTTTTCCCTTCATTTTTGGTTGTTCATGTCTTCCTAAACGGATAGGCCGCTGAGTGTTGCAGAAGGTCGTCATTCTTCCTTGGTTATGGCAATATTGTTTGTCATCAAATAAAAATGTATATTAAAACAGGCATATTATCCATCCTCGTCCTCATAAAATTCGTGGAGATCATTCCCAAATTACCAGGAAGAAAGTGTGTGGAAGTGAGAAGCAGGGGCCAGCTACGTACACGTCTCCTGGCATTCGCTAGAAGCTTTCCATCGAACATTTGGATGGGCTTGCTTGCCAGCCGGACTTGATCATACCTTATTAAATCTTATCTTTTGCTACTCTATCAACCTAAAGTGAATTATTAAATTACATATAGAGTTTTTTCTTATGTAGAAATTTCAAGGAGTTTAAATAATCATATGTCTAAACAAAAACTAGATACATAAATTGTTTTTTTTTTTTAATAAATTAGGAAAGCACTTTACTTATCGCTACTTGAAAAAAACTACTTATATTTCAGTCATTATTGGTTTTAAGTCCTTTAGGAACAAAAAAAATGGCATGTTTAATATTTTGTAGTTTATTAAAAAATTTAATCATATTAATCAAAAGTTACTCCCATCCCATGAATTAATTACTGTAACTATTTAGAAACCGTATACTTACAATTCTCACATCTAATTCACCTATGTATATTGCACCCATGTTGCAATCTTCAAATTTATTCATTTATATGCTGATTAGTAACTTAATTGATTTATCTATTTGATTTACTTGAGTATGAATGTAATTTCTCTTTTATTAGGAACTTCTTGTTTGCCTAGTGCCTACCACCATCAAACAAACTAACTTAATGCTCATTCCTATTCATTGATCATCTTTCTAGCTTGTTAGGAAAATTTGGACCAATTTAATAATATCGAAATTGTCAAACTATAGATATATGAATTTATTGGGATTTATTTTATTATTAAATATAAAAAATATGACATATTTTTGAGATTGACACATAGTCATGGAGATCCCTGCCGATTTAGAACCACTAAAGGCTGATATAGTCGACTAAGAGTTCTTCTTCAAGAACAAACCATGATGCCAGTGCCATTTTTGAGCTTCCATTTCATGTTGGTAGCCATGGGAGTAGTATAACTGATCAAGATCTATAAGAGAAAATCTCTTGCTAGCTGCTGTTGGAGCTATTTTATAGCTGCAGTATTGTTGCCTGTGACTAACAAGTAATCTACATGAACCAAGAAACAGATAAGAAAGGAGTCTTTGTTATAAACAAAAAGTGATGCATCAAGAGATAGAATTTTGGAAAGCATAGCTAATGTGAAAGCTGCTGTTTTAATCATTGCTTTGTGAAGTTATCCCTGTTAAATTTAGTTGAATTTGCCAAGAAGGAAAGTTCATGGAACTCAATTTCAGGGTCGTTAGGCAGCGGCATTGATGGAAACAGGACTAGGTGTGTTACTGTGGGGTAAGCATGTAGTTGATTTGCAGAGAAATTGTTTGATGCTGTCATGGAAAAGGTTGGATCGAGATAGTAGTTAAGCAGGTATGCTCTGATACATGTAAATGCAAAGATATTTTTGAAATTGAAAGCCTTGACTATTGTTGATCACGGATGTGAATATGTTATAGATATGTGTAAAATTCGGAAGATTATTTGAAATCTCAAACTTGAAATTTAAAAATTTATTGTTGGCTTACCTTTGAATCAATTGATATGTTATTGGAGTTAGCGGCTAGGTGCTTAGAGCTTGCAGGTTTGAAGTAACTTATAAGAGTAGGGGTTCAAAGGTAGATTAGAAATTAAAAGAAAAATTATTATTGTACAAGCATTTCTTTAGGAGTTTCAAATTCTGCATTTGCCTTGATCTACGGTTGTTGTAGCTTTGCTCTAACTTGTTTAGCTGGCTATAATCTCTTAAGGCTGCTATGATCTGTTAGTTATTGTTGCTGTGTATCATTTACACAAGCAACATCTTTTCTGCAATTTTTTTTTCTTTTGCCACCAATATTTGAGCAAGTCTAAAAATTTTATCCAAATTTTTTAGATTTGAGTCATAATCAATAGATAATTAAACATAATTAACTCAGTGATATATGTACTCAATGATCATTGAATGTCAAGATGATCCAAAACATCTTTGTTATTCATAATTAAATATTTGTTTGAAAATAATTTACATATGCCTTGTATGTATTGAAGACAGTGTGCTTGTGCTCACGGATTAGGGAGAGTCCTGAATCCCACCATCGGAACATAATTAGAAGGGTCACTGAAATATAAAAGGTTCACATTTATCATCTACCTTTGTGAGGCACCTTTTTGTAGAAACAATACTGTTGAGGTATAGGGGGAGTCAGAGCGGACAAATATCTCACAAGAGTGTGAACCGTAGCAGGAAGAGCTTGATCTGGGACGTCAGAAGGGTGAATGTCCGGGTTCAGAACCGCGCCGGATTCGAAGCTTAAGTCCTTCGACCCTGACACTTGTGCTTAGGCCTACATGCATGTTGACTGTTGCCTTTAATTTATAGGATTTTTTTTAAAAACTTTTTCACTTTTTATGTGTGTGATCCAATTTCATGTCCAATTAAGCAACGACCCCAGAAATTAAGCAGGGAAGCAATTTTGCTTTAAAACTAAATTGGGTCTACCCATCATAAAAACCAAAATAATCAAAAGCATCAAACATTTGAAAGATTATTTATCTGTTACTAGTCTGATATGAAAAGTTGAACAGATATATATATATATATATATATATATATGAGATGTTTAACTTTTTATTTTGTTAATAAAAAAATTTAGAACCTTACTTTAAAATATAAAAGAAACGACCCATAGGAATTAGATGATCACTAAGAATTTGAAAGAAACCTGAAATTTTTGCCATGAACCCAACTTAAGGCGGACGAACCAGCGGATGAGAGGGGCCAGAAGGCAGAACCCTTTTTAAGTTGCCTATTAATAGCTTGGGGCCGGTTACCTTAAAAAAGTCAACCACATAGTAAAGAAGAAATTCTAAATTAATTAGTTTGAGAAAATATTATACTGATACGTTCTATTTATATATAAAAAATTCTCACTAATTAAAAAATACGGTAATTATGTTGTAATCCTAAATATTATTATAATCTTTAATATTATATTTAACAACGAAATTACATAATATTATAAAATATTTATTAACAAATATATATAGTATGCTTTTTTTTTTGTGTTAATAAGCAATAATTTACTTGACCTGAGATGTCAACCCACAGATTTTCATTAGAGGTGTTTATTTGATCAATTTGATTAATTTCAAATTGAATTATTTAAAATTAAATTAATTAAATTATATTATTTTATTTAATTGAGTCGAATTTTCTAATTTTAAAAATTAACTTATTGAAATTATTCAACCAATTAATTATAAAAATTAATTTGATCAATTTGATTAATTTTTTATTAATCAAATAATAAAATATATTAAATTAAATTTTAAATTCTTAATTTTTCATATATAAAACAAATTAAATAAAATCATCTAACAAAAATATTTAAACACCAAAATATTTAGTTAAAAACTCTAACAACTTGAAACGAAATGAACAATTTTATATATTTTTAGTTATATATATAAGTTTTATAATATTTTGATTAAAATTTTGGTTAATTAAGTTAATTCGATTTTTAAATTAAATTATCCAAAAATCAAAATTTTTTTAAATTTATTTTTAATAATTTATCAAAATTAATTTAATAATAAATCACGATTAAATCAATTCAATCATTCAATTCAATTAAAATTGAATTATGAACTTTTTAAGTACACTTTTGTGGAGAGTTGCTCGCACAATTCAACTAGCTTTTTTTTTGGGATAATATCCTATATGGCCCTTGAACTATTATAAATTATTGAATTTGGTACTTAAATTAAAAAAATTGTTAAATAAGTATCTAAACTCTGAAATCATATATCAATTTGATCCCAGAGTTAATTCTGTTAGCCTAGATACTGACTTGACTATTTTAACCAATAAAAATATATTATCTAGACACAAAATGACATATAAATATGACAAGGATTACTGATGTGGTCAAATATTTTGAAAAAAAATATAATTCCCCCTTAAATCGTAGACTCCAAATTCAATGTCCAAACCCTAAACCTCAAATTCGAAGAACTCTTTAAAATTTTAGCAAAATTCAAAGCTTGTGAAAGGTTAGCGGGAAGCTTGTGAAATTGAAACTGTTACCTTGTGAAAACTAATCTGCAACCTTTACTAAATCAATGACAAACGAAGAAAACAAGATGGTTGAAAGAAGATATGGAGGTTCTGTTGAAGATTCATTAAAGAAAAGTGGATCCAGATGAGATCATATTCATTGGGTTGGGAAATTATCTATGGCACTGAGGCAGCAATTAGGACGGGAGGCGGATAGGTGACTCGCTGGTTCATGGTCTGTAGATGAAGTTAGTCCGTTTGTCAGGAATCCTAGCAGTCATCAGCAGGCTCAATTAGTGGGGTTGAATGCTTCAGATCTTTGCCAACATAGGCTTTCACCTTTTGAAGAGCAATTCAACAATCTCAAAGGAATCATGCTTTGCAGGAGCTACAGCAGCGAGGGATTTTTTACCCCAGCCTGACAACATTTGGTAGGTCCACTTTTCTTACTGCTGCTCATGGCATGAAAGCGGACAATGAAATTCTCTAGATCTAGCTGAACATCTCCATATGCACTCAAACAAGCAACTTGGTCTTTGTTCTTTTAGTAACCACTCTCTTAGCTAGCATATTTCGGGTGATGCATGTGCTTCTCATCCAGATGCAATAGATACTACCACTTTTAGAAATATGGGTAACTAGAAAATAGTTGGACTGAAAAACAAATACAACAATTAAATTTTGAAGCAGAGTTGCAAAGAAGGGAGTTTGAAGTTGATTCAACCACTTGGCATCAACTGAAGGGGTTCATGAAAACTCTAAAAAAGCTTTAATGGACCTTCTTCACCAAAACTTGGTATTCAATCCACAGTCATCAGAAGTATATTATCAACCTTCTACTTTATCTTCCAAAGGGTGAGAAATTTTTGGCTTGCTTTTGAGCCTCAAATTTCTAATTTTTCTTTTAACCATTTCCTAAATCAGAGAGTTAAAAGTGCACAACTCGTTTTTGGAAGGCTCTCAAAATACCAATTCAAGTGTCTTGTTGCAAGATCAGTTGTTTAGAGTTGCTATAAGTGATTGTGTTAACCATATGGTTAATTGTAAAAGACTGCCTTTTACAGCCAATTCTAGCTCATTTGCAAAGGAATAGTCATTCTTGTTAGGCATTGAAAATCATTTTCATAGTAGTTATGCAGATGCGAGCTTGATAGGAAAATCAGTTAT